ATCTTGCATTAGAAAATCATATTACAATTACAGATTTAATCTTGCAAGAAAAAGCAAAACAAATTGCAAATGCTTTAAATATTCAAAATTTTGCTATTTCTGATGGTTGGTTGCAAGGCTTTAAAAAATAATACCATATTGTTTGTACTATACAAAGTGGTAAGGCTGCTAGTGCCCCAGTTGAAAAATTGCCAGAGTTTCATTTATCTTTACAAAATAATATAGCAAATTATGATCTTGTAGATGTTTATAATTGCGATGAGACAGCACTTTATTGGCTCTTAAAACCTTCAAAATTACTTACTCATGGTTGTATTGCGGGTGTTAAAAAGCCAAAAAATCAGGTTACAATAATATTAACATACAATGCAGTTAGTTATAAATTGCTTCCGGTCTTTATTCATAAATTTAAAAATCTGCATGTGATAAGAGAAATAAAAAAATCAACTTTACCTGTCAAATATTATTGAAACAAAAAGACCTAGATGCAGATTTCGATTTTTCAAAACTGGTTATCGCAATTAGATAGTTAAATGCATCTTGCTCATCAAAAAATTCTTTTACTTGTAGATAATTGTTCAGCACATTCTATTGAAGATTCGAATTTGTCTAATATTAATGTACTGTAGTTTTTCTTCCAAAAAATACTACGGCATGGTTACAACCATGCGATGCTAGAATCATCTACTCATTTAAGGTTAGTATTAAAATTTTTTTAAAATTTTAAATAATTGTTAATAACAATAACATTTATACAATTTAGTGTCACTATTGCAAGCTATTATTACAAAACCGAATTGCTGCATTTGATGAAACAAATTTAACCAATGAACCTCCAGATCCTGTTACAATTTATGATGCAATTCAGTTTGTTGCACAGGTATGGAATAAGGTTTCTGAAGATACAATTATTCATTCATAGCAAAAAACTAGTATTCTTCTTTTTGCAGAAATTGATGAATGTTTGAATACGGAAGTTTCAGCTGAAATAAATAATAACAATGAGGAAACAGAATTAAAAAATCTCATTACACAATTTCAGGATTTAAAAAATCCTGAAAACCTTGAGCATTTAAATATTTCTATACATGAGTTTATCAAAATTGATAATAAATATGCAATAGGTGAAATGCCTACAATTAATGAGCTTATAGAAGAAATGCAAGAAAGTGAACCTAAAGAAGAAGAACTAGAGAAGCAAAAACCTGTTATGCCAACTCAAGCTATTACCAGAATAGATTCAGTATTGGGTTATATTGAACAGCTTGAATCGAATTTTCAAATTGATATTAAAGTTTTTGCTAAACTTAAACGGATGCGAAAAGAGCTTGCTTATTTAACAAAAAAAAATTCAAAGCAAACAAAATTGGATTCGTTTTTTATTAAAGAATAAATAAATCAGAAATAGTAAGTATAAACAATTTAGAAGCAGTAGGTATAATAATATTTAAATGTTAATTTATTAAATGATTACATTATTTTACAAATCCAATTTGTTTTAAATTCAGTACAGAACAAAGATGATTTTATTTATATAACTTAAACCATTTTAAATAAATATATCTGATATTATCGTTATTAATTTTTTATCCAAGTTACATTTTTATCGTTATTAATAAAGCCTACTTTCAAGCACCCTTAAGCACTATCCTTAATCGACTATAATTAAGATAATACTCAAACTTGATACAATTATAACGATTCATACTTGAACTATCTTTTTTTATCCTTCAATCAACTATAATTATGGCTCCAAAAAGTGATTATCTAATTAAAAATTTAGTACTGGCATATAAAATTTTAATTTATAAAGGCTTCTAGCTATTTCTTTTAAACAATTTTTTATAATAACTTATGGTATTCAAATATATGATCATTACGGCAATAAACATAAATTTTTTAATAATTATTATTTCTATGAGTTTCTAGTACAGTCTCGCTCCACCTTATCAAAAAAAAAAATAGGTAACCATTTTGGTTACTCTATTAATAATAAATTTCAATCGGTGCAACTCTCGAGAACAAACTCCTTAATTAAATCTGGTTTATTTTTTAATCGGTTTTATTAAATATATACTTGAATTTGCAACTAGTTTTAACCAAATTGGTTAGCAGCAAAATCAGCCGCAAGTTGATATGATTGCTGCAAAAACCTGCCAATCTTATTAGATAAGATTTGCAGGTTTTCTCTTTATAGTTAAAATAAGTAGCTGTGCACAAGACCAGGAACAGAAAAATATATTGTATACGAAATTTAAAATCGAGCTTTGGAATTAATTTATGTCAGACCTAAGGTACAGTACATACATAATGCCAGACTTGTCGAATTGTAACTTATTGCAATTATAATATTTTCGAATATTTACCAGAGCATAATTGGCAAAGTTCACAATAATCAATAGCATAGATTAAAGGTCCTGTGAAAATAGCTATGGGAACAAACAGGATTCAATACACATAATCAAGATTACAGGAGATAAGTATGATTCATAATGATCTTTCACATAAAGTAATTCTAACCCAATAAGAGATGTGATAAAAATCATAGGAGGCCAAATACTCCTTATTATCTTGATATCGGACGGATGACTTTTTGACTAGGATTAAATCACATTCGGCTAGCGCTAAACCGCACAACTCTTTAGCGATTAACATGCCAAAAAAAAATTTTCGCTCAAATCTTTAACGATCATTGATTATCATTACATCACTCAATAAAAAATTTGGCAAAAATAAAACAGAAAATCTTAAATATCTACCAAACATATGCGAAAATCTGAATCAGGCCACCAGTATTTATACCCAAAAATCAAGCTTTTACCAT